CCCGCCCCCCCCCCCCCACTCCTGCTGGGCAAGCAGCAGCAGGGCAAAGCCCTTGCTCCCAGCGCTGCCATGCCTGCATCTTGCGTCCCCCCTCCCCAAGTAATGTGCCCCTCGCCCCAGCTGGGCAGCTTGTTCCAGCTCCAGCCCCAATCCCTCCCTCTCCCAACCCCAACAGATTTACCAGCTGGAGGCAACTGTTAACTGCCTGTTTAGTCCACAGCCAAATCTCCGAATCAACTGAATCTTTTTCCGAAGCATTTCTGAATCGATTTGATATACTTGGTCTCCTGATTTGATTCAGATTTGGAGATTCAGTCCCTGATTTGAGACAAATCTCCTCCGAATCAAATTAGCTACCAAAGCTTTGCACAGCTGTAATGCCTCTGTATCCTGTTCCACATTTTGGTGACTCATCTTTCGCATCTACATTTGCAGGCTTGCCTTGACAGAAATCCTGAAGCCTTTAAGCCCAAAATAGGGAAAGGAAAGGAAGGGGAATCGGACAGACGGCATAGCAAAGGTTGCAACTGCAAACGTTCAGGGTGTCTCAAAAATTATTGTGAATGCTATGAGGTAAGATGCATTTCCGTGACTTAAAGAAATTTGAGTTTTCATCTTTCAAAATACAACTCATCCCCATTACATTGTCTCTATTTCAGAGCTTTTAGTCAACTACGACTACTAGAGCTGGTCAAATATTGTTTCAATAATTTGACTAATTTCATGTTTTTAGACTGTTTGTTTACCCAAAACTTGTCTGGTACCTAGTATCTAGCATAATAACTACTCTTTGGCTTTTACTACACATGGTAAAACTTAAATTTGATCTTTCACAGTTGTATCTTGTAACAACATATTAGATATTGTTAATGTGCTCAAGGGTTTCTTTGGAGCATAGCAAGTGAATCTCCTTAAATTATTGGAGTGTAACCCTGCCTTGCAATTCTGTTTGTGCACATAGCAGCCTATCCTGGAAACTGATTGCTTTGCTTGTAGCCCTGTATATATTTGAATAGTGATTATGACTCTATATTAAAAGGCAAATTCAGACTGTCTGAAGTAATGTCTTCTGCAGAAATTGGTTTGTTATCATCTCCTTGATACCTTTGTGTAGGTCAGTGGTTCTCAGCCTTTTTAGATTCAAGGAATGCTTCCATAACTTTCAGTTTAGTGGCACCTTGATTGAGAACCACAACTGTTGCTGCCTCAGCCTACTTCAGTGGCTCTCAACTTGGTACTGCCACTGCAAGGTGAAACTGCCCTATGTGCCTCTGTTGTGCTGTCTCAGCTTATCATATAAACCTGATGCAAGCAGGAGGACCTGCTTCTGCCACAGCCACTTCCTGATATTTCATCTGAGAGTGGTAGTGGCAGCACCCTCATTGATGACTGTTGAGGTAAACTGAGTCAGTACAACAGTGGTTCTCAGCTAGGGTGCTGCTGAATTCAGAAAAGTTATGGAGGAGGGTCTTGAATCTGAAACACTCTTAATTTGAAGGTTTTGAGAGGGAAAATCTACTGTTTCATGTGGGAGTTTGTTTCAATGGCTTACTCATTTAAAAAAAAAAAAACAACCAGAAAATTTGGGCCTGATTCTAATTTGATTTTTGCCCTAAATGAGGACGGAATTGTACCTAGTTAGTGTGGTTTACACAGTTATGTTTTGTAGTTGCAGAATAGCTGACATTTACACTGTACAATATGCATTGTAAACACCTTTTATTTTGGTGTTTTTCTCTTAGTGCATGCTAAGTTTGAGCCAGCAATGGGATATAAAGTAATGTTCGGTGAACTACCCTTTCCTTCCAGGCAAAGATCATGTGTTCCTCAATATGTAAATGCATTGGCTGTAAAAACTTTGAAGAAAGTCCAGAGCGAAAGACATTGATGCACTTAGCAGATGCAGCAGAAGTCAGAGTCCAGCAACAGACAGCTGCAAAGACAAAGTTATCCTCACAAATCTCCGATCTGCTTACAAGGCCAACACCAGCACTCAGTAGTGGAGGGGGGAAGTAAGTTAATGTGTCATTTTTTTTTGTTTTGTTTTGTTTTTTTTAATCTGGCTTCAGCATTGTTTTCACACACAATTGACTTGCTATCCTGCTAGGCTGGATCCTAGCAAGCTAAAATTATGGCAGCCTTTGACCTTTGTCTTCACTACGTCTTAATTGGTAATAGTGTTTAATATTGTATTGCTATAGCAACCAGAGACTTCAATTGTGGTTGGTGCCCCTTGGTGCTAGGTGCTGCATATACTCAACCCGGAGTAATAGCTGAAAAAGTTTGAGCAGAAATAAGCTGCTTAAGTTTGCAGTTAAAGAACTTTATCTATGAAACTAATTTATCTCATGGATACATCTCAGAGCTCAGGGACAGAAAGGAGATTTATATTACATGGCTTTTGACTAAATATATACCACACAAGATGTATTGGGCATTATGGCAATGAATTTAGGGTACAGGTAGAAGTAACTTTTGAAACGGGTTCCCTCCTGAATATCTCCCAAACCTCTCCTCTTACCTTCAGAGGCAGGGACAGAGAGAACTGGGGCTGTAAGATCTGATAGCAACAGGGGTCTGTTGGGCAGGGGGAGAGGGGGAAGGGAAGGGGTGCAGCCCAGCCCCAGCACCTGTGTCCATGCACAAGTAGCAAAGTGAAATGCTCCAAAGGGCAGGTGCGTGGGTACAGCTGGCTCTTTGAAATCTTTCAAAGACATTTGAAAGGTTTTAGTTGTTAACATCTGTCACTACCCTTAGAGTAAGGAAAATGGAACTTAAAAAAAGTACAAGATGCATTGGGAGTCATAGGGAAAATGTTTGTTTGGGATTTGAGAGAATACGCGACTATGCCACAGCAAACTGTATCAAAATGTGCGCCCATGGAGGGCTACATATGCTACTTAGAATTTGCCACATTTTTTTGAGTGATTAATCATGCAACTTTGAACATTGTCTTAATGTAGTTTTTCATATTGTACTATAAGAATAGATGAACTTGCACTAAATTCAATTACTTCACTTACAGTTTTTGTCTATGACCAAAAAGATGTGGAAAATTCTGTGTGTGGTCATTCTGCAGTCTTTCTTGAAGCGTACAGAGTTGGAGGCACCCATGAAGCTGTCAGTCAAGGCATTTTCTCCTTGCTTGTCTGTAGCTGGGGCTTGTTCAGCACTTCCAGCTTGAGGCAATCTCAGATGTGTCCCAGAAGCTGTAGGCGCTGATTCATCCTGCTCAAATCATCAGTGATTGAAAGCTTGGAATGTGTGCTTGCTCTTGCTCACTCTGTTTGTAAGGGTGTAGCCTTAAAGTTAGCTGTTAGGCTGCATGGATCTTCACAGAAGAAAATGGAGATAAGCATAATAAGCCCTGTTTTACAATATTAGTAAGTATTGTGGTTGTTGCAGAGAATAGCCAGTAGGTTTCCCTTGTCGTCTTTGCTTCAGAAAAAGTTTCTCAGAGTTCATGTGCTTTGTAGCTCTGTTATAGATAACAGTTCTGGGTTTTCTGTATTTGTTTCAGACTGCCTTTTACATTTGTAACCAAGGAGGTGGCAGATGCGACTTGTGATTGCCTTCTTGCCCAGGCTGAGCAGGCTGAGAAGATGGGCAAGTCAAAAACAGCAGCAGAGCGCATGATACTGGAGGAATTTGGACGTTGTTTGATGAAAGTAATTAACTCTGCAGGAAAGTCCAAAAGTGACCCTTGTGCTATGAACTGCTGACTCTTGCACAGGAGCCATGATAAATTGGACTGAATAGAACACTTAAGGCACAGGGACACTTTGATTCACAGCAGAGAATTTATTAATAATATTTCATTTAATTTGATGCTTGTTTTAAATTAACTTGCATAATACTGAAAAAAGAAAATCTTTTATAACAAGGAAAAGAGTCTTTTAAATCTTAGTTAAATCATCGTCTAGTTATGACAATATGTAAAGGTAAATTCTGTCTCTCTCTCTCTCATATAATTGCCTGAAGAGTGTATATAAATTATTATAATATATTATTTACAATGTATAGAGTTACATAACTTTGTTCATATGGTGGGGTGGGGGGATAGACAGTCAGAAAACAGACATTTTTGGCAGCAGACCTAAAGGACAGGTATCAGTATATTCAAGAAAGAGTTGGCTGAAAGAAATTCTGAGATAGTAGCACCTCTTCAGGAGAAAGGTAAGAAATCTGCATTGAGAACCAAATTCAGTAAGGGCCTGAAGCACTTCTGTAGCATTAAGCATTCAGACAGTGAATGCACATCAGGAGTACTTTAAAATGTTTCTTATTGGGTCTGTATTGAAGACCCTGGCAGAAGTGGGCCAGGAGGGCAAGGCATGGTTTTTCAAGTGAAGGGTATATTAAAGGTGTTTATAACCAAATCTTCAGTACTGGCTCAGATAGTCTTAAATGGAACTTAAGAGATGGACAGGTTTTGTGTTTGAAAAGAGCCTTGTGCAATACTGCCCATCCAGCTGGTATCGTGGAGCTTGACCTTGTGAGTTCCTTACCTGGTGAACCTTTCACTGAATCTGAGGAGAGTTTATAGTGTTTCAGACTTTTCAGAATCCATCTGGAAGTATATTTTTAATGATAGGAAGTGAGATCATGTGCATCTGCTAGGATAAGAGAAAGTTATCACAGTTCATGACAGATTTCAAACTACCTGCATCAGTTTTATTCTGAGAACACTTGTGAGACCAGGTTCCATGTAGAGTTGATCTTTTTTGATATTGCTTCTCTAATCTTCCTGTCATACTGGCTTGTGTTTTTTAAGTGCTATTTAGATGACTACCATTTGAATCAGGACATACAAGTACATGGGTGCAGAATTAAGGCCATCAAAAACAGACATGTTTATGCCTTGGGAATGGAGGACACCAAACATAACTGTATAGAAATGTTCCAGAGTGCGAACTTTTTCCAGCATTTGTTACAAATGATCTCCAATCTCTTGTTTTGATAATGTAGCACATTAACAAGCTGAACTTGTTAAGCTCTAACATTTAATGGAAACAAAACAACCATGTTTAAATTCACAGGCATTTTCGTTTAATATCTTAATGATTGCTACTCTTTTTTCCAAAAGGGATTTTTTTTATTCTCTCTGTGTGTCACTGTATATATAACATACTTTTCCGTGTGTATGGGTAGCAAATACACACACATCTGAAAAGGGAATCCATCACTCATTTAAAAAGTACAATTTTTTTTTAACAATTAGGTCTTGGATTTATAAATGTCAGGGCAGTAACTTTAAATGTAGATCGTATAGACATTCAGCTTACTTCCAGTGTATCAATATAGTATGTCCAGTAAAATTTGTATAAATGTAAATTAGTGTAAGTGAATAAAATAACACCTAATCAAGTTATTTTTCAAACAGATTGCAATATGCCTTCTTTTGCCCAGAACTAAATTTATGTTAATTTTGTACATAATCCATCTTATTCTAAATTGCACCTTTTGTGATGTGTATTTATGTATGATGTGCAGAAAATGTTTGTGAAATTTGGATTACAGTTGTAGATGAAGTATGATGGCATTATTGCTTGAGAATATTTTGCTTGTAAAGGTTTTGAAGGTGCAATCAAATGCTTTTAGTTCTGTTTGTTTTGAACAAGCTTTTTCAACGTTAAGCTTGAATTTTCCTTCCTTCTTCCCCTGTCCCCAGTGCACACAGTGCTTTTTGTATTTCGTTAACCATTTGCATCAAACTGTGGAACACAATTTGCAGTCAAGTTCATCCAGTAATTTTAAACAACATTTGGGGTGAGTCAGGGGTTCATTTTCTAGGTCTGTTTGCATCAAAGTAGAAAAAATTAAAATTTATATTTACTAGACCTATTCAAAGAACACACTTTTCTATATTGTAAAAACAGAGCAGTCAGACAAATTGCAAAGAAAAATAAACATTTATACTATTCTGTATATGTTATTTTTGCACTCTTCTTTTAGAGCTGATATGAACTCTCTCTAGTTTAGTTGGATACCTGAGTTGTTAATTAGAGGTCTGCCTCTCACCAAAGCAGCTGCCATTAAGACTCTGGATTCTGCAGACCTCTTGCTTGGCTGAAAGCATGTGATGGAAATCAGTCAGACTTCAAAACATTCCAAAAGTTGTGTGCGTCTAAGATGGATTTAAGCTGTTGCTTAAATACTCTGGAAATGGGCCAAAATATACACCTGCAAGAGTAGGTAATTTGGCCCAAACAGGCACTGCTGTATTGTTACCTTTCCTGTATGACTGACTGGTTCAGAGAAGCATGAACCTTTTGTAGGCAACAGGATTCATAGCATCTGAAGAAGTAGGCTTTGTCTACAAAAACTCACACTGCTCTTAGTCCCTAAGGTGCTACCCAGCCCTACATTCTGCCAAGCTAACATAACAAATCAACTTTCTTCTCTCACGCATGAAAGACCATTTTTTGTACCTGTAAAAACATCGACCCTGATCTAGCAAATAAGCCTTCATAGGTAGACTCATATGCCCATCTAGGACTCCAGTGGATTTAGGTGAACTTCAAAGAGGCAGGAAGAGTCTATCCCCAGAGATACATCTGCAAAATCAAGGGCAAAATGTTCAGCTTAAGCTTTGGTGGTGGTAGCTTTTGATTATTTGGGACTTGGCTTTTTTTTTTATCTTTCTTGAGGAGAAGGTTCTTGGCAATGTCTTACAAGGTTTACTTTACTGCCTAAGAACTGGAAGTTCATTAGAATTAAAGTAGCTGCTGCTTACTACAAAGTAAAATTATTTCTATTTTTGGATTTTTGTGTTCTCTTTTTTTTTTTGCTGGCTGTCTCATTTTGGGCTTTTTTAAATAATTTTTTACATTAGTATGAAATTGGTGCTCAAGGAAATGGAGGATGGATGTTACTGCCTAGAGCAGAGGTTGGCAATGTTTTTGGGTGGAGTGCCAAAAACACCCACAACCTCAACTTGTAAGATGCTGGCATGCCAAGGGTGGACATCGGGGGAGCGGTGAGGGGCCCAGATCCTTGTTGTGTCAGTGCAGCCTTGGTCCCTTCCCCATTGTCTGCCAAGCAAAAGGCCTTCACGTGCCACGCTCTGGCACCCATGGTTGCCTACTCTTGGCCTGGAGCCAGTGGCTCCAGCCCTATGGACATGTTTCAGGCAGGGGATAGCATATGTCTATTCTTCCATTAAGTAAAGGTTGTCAGTACTAAGTAGGCAGTGAGTGGATATGACCCAATCCTTCTGGATTAGAAGGAGCCACTAAATATATTTGGGAACTAGACCTAGAGGTGTTGGGGGGGAAAAATAACCATTTGACCTCGTCATCCCTTGCTGGCCTAAATAACTGCTGCTTCTCAGGTTTCTCCCTGGAAGGTAAGGTGGGTCTTGGCCATGTCTGTATCTGTCACCAGTTTAATTAAAAATCACTAAGAGGATGACTTGGGTACACAAATGACACTAGTTATTAAAGAAACACAGAACAGCCACTACTTTGTTAATATATATATTATACAAGACAACAGTAACAATTAACACTAAGTATAAATTGTATAAAACCTATAACCAGAACAAAGGGACAGCAATCATGAGATATATTTATTGGACCACTGCCATTGTTGGCTCTGTCTGCCTCTTCAGCCCCAGTGCCAGGGCTTACCTTACCCTATTACAGGTCACTGATCTTTTATAAGGGTCTATGACAGGAAGGATAGCCCACAACAGTATCCCTTCCCAAGGTATGGAGGGGGTACTTGCCAAATACTCAGTGAAGCCACTACCAAAGCCCTTAAGCACCTGGCAGGAAAATGTCAGGGGGCCCACCTCTGGCTGAGTATAGCTGTGTGCTGAGGAGTGGCCTCTGACTGCTCCAGGGATCCTTGCTCCTCGCAGAGGACCCAGATTCTGTGGAGAATCTGTACCCACTCACACCAGCTACCACCCTCTCTGTGTCCTCGATCACTGTCTCTATTAATCCTTACAAGGCCCTCATGCATTCCTATACAGTCTCTTCCACAAGTGTACCCTTGCCACCTCACACATACGCACATACATGCACACACCAAGCCCCTCACTCAGAGACCTTTTAAAGGGCCAGTGCACATGGCTCTTTGGATGGTGCACTCATCCCCAAAATGTGTACACTACACTCTTTCCATTATACTTAAGGGTGTTGTATGGAAAATTACTAGACTTAGGACTAGCATGACATCATTTGTCCTACTTACAATCTCACTTGTGAATGACCTTACCAGCTTGAACTGTCCTGGTCCCATAACTTAACGTAAGCTGGCCATGAGCATCTTAATTTGCTCTCAACAGAGGCAGCTGAAGTGTCAAAGTGTTACGGTTGTCTCTGGCAGAAACTGAATTATATTAGATGCTCTAAAATTATACAAGATACAGTCCATACCCTAAAAGATGTAACAATCAAAGGACAGGGGGAAAGCAGCTGGCATATAAGTAGCTTTAAAAAAAACTAGTTTCATGGATGATCTCGTGCTGTTTTTGCCATGATTAGCAGGCTTCCTGTAGGCATGTTGGGTGGATCTTCAGGAAGAGCACCATGACCTTGAAAAGCAGCTTGGTTTGATTGACCTAATCATGAGCAGAGATATGAGAGAGCATCAAGCCATCTGGGAGAAGCAGACAAACTGAAGTCTGGAAGCACTAGTGAAATAACAGAGTTCAGGAGCAACATGCTTCAAGGCAGGGTGAGTAAGTAAAGAGATGGTTGTGGTATCTGGTCTGCAAGATGAGATGAAACAACCTTGGTGTGGTAGAAGGCGGTAGAAGAATTCAAAGGAAGAATGGCATGGTCAGGATGACTGGCAGCTGAATTTTGTATGGACTGGATGAAGGGGATTGTTGGGGTGGCAAGAAGACTGTCATTAGTCAAGAGGTAACAGGGTCTGGGAAAGCATTAACCTGTAAAGAAAGGGTTTACAATATAGACATAAAAGAGAAGCAGCAGCAGGATTTGGGCATAGTCTGAACCTACTCAGTAGTGGGAGGAGAAAAATCAAAGATAACTGGATAATAAGTCTGAGTGACAGAGCAGTGTCAGAAGGATGGAAAGAGAGGGTTTGGGTGGAACTTGAAGTGTTTGTTTTAGGCCTGTTAATTCAATGGGGACATGGCAAGGAAGAGAGTTCACAGATTCAGGATCGGACCAAGTAAGTGCATGAATACGTTCAAGATAAGCTGAAGTACAAAATATGTCCAGTTTTCTGTTCAGGCCTGGGCATTTGATCAATTGGTATTGTCAAATCATGGTCAACTAGTTCAAGCATTAATTTTATTAGAACAGTGGAGAGAGAGATGTTTTATCATCATTATGCTAACTACAAAAAGTGACCTGTTATAGTGAAACAATGAAATTATTCTCTTAAAACATTGTAATGAATGT